GTGTTCACTGGTTGCTACGTTACTGAACGTTCTTGCAACAGAAAGAAGGGTGTCGATTTAACAATGAATCTTTACAAGTTGTATGTGCTAATTCCCCCAGAAATACATGTATCAAAGATACATACAAATACATTTTTACCCAACTTTATCGCATGTGTATGAATATAAAACATGTTTTCATCGCTACCCAGGGTTCGAAAGTTAAGTAGGGTGGACCGATTTCGAGTCAAACATACACCCAGTTGCCCTTGAACAGAATATCATAGCTTGGTATGATTACATAGTACTGTAGAATACTTTATTTTCGCTTGGAATTTATTTTCGCAATTTTCGCTGAAGGGATGATTCCGTGAAAATAAAATCCAGCGAATACACTTTTTTTTCCTATATTTCACATTAAACTCATCAAACATCAGTGAAAATAAATTCCATACAAAACGCCCAAAAAACCTTTTCAGCGAAAATTATTTCCAGCGAAAATAAAGTATTCCACAGTAACCATAAAAGTATTTCTGAAGGAACACACATACCGGACAAGTTTCGCGATTTGTTGCCTAGTAATACCAATCACAAAGCAAGGTTCAAATACCAGTATCATAAAATCTGTATTAGAAGTTGTACCCCTATCAGAAGACGCACTAATTTATTTTGAACAAACAAGAACCAAAAATTCGCCATTTCTCATATGTTTAGACGCTCTAATAGAAGCTGCATCCAGTCTGTTGCATCATACCATTTTGATAGAAGCCACGGTTTACAGTATATTAGTATTCGCAGTGCAGGTCAATGTATGCGTTACTGCTCTACCCCATGTGATGATTTTCAGGGGGGTCAGAAATTAGAACTAAAAGTATCCAATTAAATTTCATACAGTAGAATGGCTAGTGTCATACAAATATAATGAAGTTATGGCTACTGTGTAGTCAGTTTCAATGATAAGAGGCCATTGATGCTAACTCATGGAACTAGACTCTTTCCAATCACATCACGGAGACTCAGGTTACAAGCCTACTTAAATCTAATCAGACGTTTCAAACTATTATAACTATACGCATACATGTCCACACTACGACCACTTGATGTGTTGATCGACAAACCATTTAAAAAATATCTGCAGGAATGGTGTGAAGTCATTGACAGTTAACTAAAGGTCATACATGGGTTTTTCTAGAAAAAAAGAACAAGAGGGAGCACACCCAGGCGAGGGAGCGGAGTGACGCCATATCAGAAGGTTTTTGTGTAACGGTGTATCTATCGCCATTGAAATATTTTTGGAATAATTTTAGTGTATTTGGTGTCCAGACACATTGTCAGCTGGTGTTGCTGGGAAGTTTTCACAGAGGAAAATATATTTGAGGAAGATTTCATGTGCGCGGCTCAAGAAATATATTTATGACTTGAAATTCAATCTGCAATTGGGTAAGAGGGTGCCAGCCGAGAGTATCAGGACACTGCGCCCCTGTTCCTCGGTTTAGAAAAAACCCTGGTCAACAGTTCTGGTGAATGTCCAATGATAGATTTATAGCATTACAACATTGTCAACTGGTTCATGGGTAGGTAAGAGACTGTAAGACTGGAATAAGTATAGTGAACTGAGCGGATACGGTGGTTAGCGTGTTCGCCTCACATCATGGAGGTTCTAGGAATGATTCCCGCAGACAACTGTGCTTTACTGAAGAGCTTCTATGGTTTTAAAAAACACTTGATAGCTGTTTGGAGGTTCTGGGATTGATTCTCAGAGCTGCCTGTCTTTTTAGGTATTGGAGACTAATTCAGAATTCAGTTTTCTGGCGGATAATTTATAGTAGGATGTTTTTAAGTTATTAAAATTTCCACAAATTATTCATAGTTTGCGTTTAGCTTTTTGAGGTAAGGGGTGGACCATTTGATATCCGTGGGGGGGGGTATTTTGTGGAAATAAAAATTCCATGACTGACAATGCTTGAAAAAAAAATTCTACACTATATGCATGTAAAAGGTCTGCTGAAGAAAAAAATAATTCCATATCAGATAGGGGAAAAAAAGTAGGCTTCATTTCAATCTTCCTGCCCCCCCCCCCTCCCAGGAAATATCAAATGTTCCGCCCTAAGTGTCAAACTTTGTTACAGTCAAATTAACCATTTCACCACCAGACCCAAATTTTTCTGCACTTTTTTTTTTTATATTTTTCAATATTTCTGGAAATAAACGCTAATTTTGAAGCCAACAAACAAAATTTACTCAAAAATGTGGCTATTTTTGTCCCAATCTTCTGAAGGAAAGTGCAGACTATAAACAAGAATATTTTATGAATTTGTGATGAAAAGAGGAAAAGGTTAATATTGAAATCTAAAATGGTGGCTGTCAACGGGTTAGATAAAACTGAGCTACGGCTTCCCAAAACAAAGATTACTTACTTGTGAAATGTTGAATAGTAATCCAAATCATTAATATTTCATTTCTTAATTAAAACTTATGTCTTGCCTGTCAGCACAAATTGTGAGAAAACACAAGCAGACTAGTCATACTAACATAGGATAGCATCATTTCTAAAACAGAAACATTGTCGGCTGAGAGTGAAATATTTTGTTTATTTCCTGTTCATAGTTGTGGTTTCTACAAGGTTACTTTACAGTCAGGTTGGTTCACTCATCAGAATTATCGCAGCTCTTGACAATTTCCTGTCATAAAATGTTCACTCCTTTATTTGTGTTATTGTTAAAGCAGGTAAAAAGTTTTTTGAGTATCAATTACACATTCCATTCCATTCCATTCCATTCCATTCTATTCTATTCTATTCTATTCTATTCTATTCTATTCTATTCTATTCTATTCTATTCTATTCTATTCTATTCTATTCTATTCTATTCTATTCTATTCTATTCTATTCTATTCTATTCTATTCTATTCTATTCTATTCTATTCTATTCTATTCTATTCTATTCTATTCTATTCTATTCTATTCTATTCTATTCTATTCTATTCTATTCT